CATCACTTTCTTTATTAACTTTCTGCTGTCAGAAGCATAAGGTGTTCGACTCAACCCCAAATTCTTCAACTCCTGCGACCTGTATTTTCCAAGTTTGTAAATCTGCTTGCTGTCACCTCTGAACAGTGAGCTTTTAACACTTTCTAGTATTTTTTCCCAGACGCTGCTGTTGATGATTTATCCTAGTCTCCTAAAATCAAAACTTTTAACCTGTCCAAAATGGAGTGGCTTTAGGGAAAAAAAAAAAAAAAAAGCCCCAGCCTGTGTTTCAGCATAGCTTCCGAAAATCTTGTATAAGCTTTTGCTACATCTTCAGAGCATGTGATGTCTCTGTGCAAAGACCACACACAATTGCACTCCCCAAATGGCACTGCTCACTGGCAGGGCTGAGGCTCTCAGGCTGGAATTGTTCCCCACTCCTACTCTGGTCAACACTACTCTGGTTTTTGTAGTGTATTTCATGATTCTGTAGAACAGCCATCTCGATTTCTAACATGATCTTCTGCTTTTCCCAGTGTAAATTAATTTGTCTTTTCCAACCTCTAATTACATAGCTCAGATGCATGCATTGTATATATGATGAGATTGAGCAAATCATATTTCCAGGCATCCTTTCTGTGATTTTGTTTGTTTTAAGCTTTTTTTTTATTTTATTTTAAATCATATCAAGATATCTGCTACATCTTATGACACTTTTATATGTACACACACACACACACACACACACATATATATATATATATGTACACACACATATATATGCAAACACACAGGGTACACTTTGAGAGAAAAAGGGCTCTATAAACTATGTTGGATTATTTTGTTTTTCATATGAAAAGAAAAATGGGGAGTCTATCTTCAAAATTCATAAAAGTGCGTGTTTGTTTATCCTAAAGCCTGGAGAGGCTCATTCTGTGTCATTCCTGTCTCTTGAGTAAAAATATTAGTCATTCTTAGGGCAAAAAAGTATTATTGACTTGTGTGATTAGAAAAAGCTCTTTCAGAATCAGTTTAGCTGATAAAGTACAGAAATTCTTAAATGGCTGGAGGCAAAAAAAAGTAAAAGAAACCAGTCAAGCACAACTTATTTTGCATTCTTGATGTGTGTGTAGGTATTAGAAATCAAACTCTGTGGAAGGTATTAGAAATCAAACTCTGTGGACTACATATGAAATAATTACAATTTGTATGTATAAATACTGCATACAGGTTGCAAGCAAATTCCAAAGGAAGGGCTTATTCAGGAGTGCAAATCATAGCTAGAAGTGATCATTGTCTTTTGGGTTTATCTCAACATGGCTGTTGAAAGCCACGTGCCAATTTGTGCACACATGAAGGGGGAAGTTAGGTTTGCATTTCTTATGTTTGGGAGGGGCTGGTGGGGTTTTTTTTCAAGTGAGGAAAGTTGTATTCATCCTCTAATTAATTTAAGTGTTTAATGATAAGAAATGTTATATTTTTCTTGCATAACATAGTCTAAAAGAACCAGGCACCATTTGTGTTGGACTCACAACATGGCATTTTTGAAGTGCTTGGCACTAAAGAGGATGATTTCCTATTCTTTGTTCAAAAAACCTTTAGGGCAAAATACATTTAGAGCTGTGGATTTTAGCATTCACCATTTAAGGATGATGCTTGTTAATATTATGTACTTTTTCAGAAATATTTTTTTTCTGGCTATCACAGCATTGTTTAAGACTGAGATAATTGCTCTATCGAATATTCCTGCCCTCTGTCAGTACACAGATAATAATGATGTAAATGCATTCACCCTTCTGCTTCTCACAGTTTAGCTGTAATTTTAAAACATAATTTTATGCATCTCTGTGGGAATTTCATTTAGAAGAGGCAGCACCACTCAGTCTTTGGCAGGACTTGGGACTGCACGATACTAAACATTGTCCATACAAAACAACTGAAAGGTTGGCATAATCCCCAAATAATTGACATTGTTAAGATTCTGTGGAAATAACACCATTACTGGCAACAGGAACACCCTTTAGTTTGTGTATTGGTGTTAATTCATGCATCTGCACTACAGTATATCTTACAAACCTGACCTTTTCACATAACTGTAGTAGCTTCTTCAATGACTTGCATTGTAAGTAGGCTGGGAAGATCCATACAGCACCATTGCACTAAAAACATGAATCTGCCACATAGATGAATGTTTTAACTGGAAGGAAAACATCAGAGTTGTGGGGAAACCTGAAAAATGTTAGAAAGCAAGTACATCAAGCTTGTAATTAGCTGTACTGTGGGCTCATGCTACATTTTTCCTAGTCCCAGGTGCTTTCAGTTGCAAACCAAGTGAAGAGACATGTCTTCATTGAGAAGTCTTTATTTTCTCTATGTAATAATATTTTTGTTTGACTGTCTTGACCTTCCAGCTAAAAATCAAGTTTCACTGTCATCAGTGAATTTTCTGAGTAGAATGAGGATATGAAGAGGATAAAGGTGTCAATTTATTTTTGCAAACTTACTGTGAGATTATGTTATCTCCGTCATATCTCTTTGTTCAACTTATGTTGTTATTTTAGCCCAAAAAAGGCCAAAGATCATCAACGAAAGTGCATGTAGAGTAAAGCTACTCCTGTAAAATTGATGATCCGTCCAATTATTTATCTATAGAGGCTGCTGGGAAGAAACGCAACTATCTCAGTTCTCAGACCCCTCTGCTAGGTTGAACTTCATGGCTGAAGGTTTAATCCCTAAGTGTCATATCAACAATTCATTCTGTGATATTCTGGCTGACATGCTCTCCTTCCTTATTTATTGATGTCTTCAGTCATCGACAATGAGAGGAAAATACACTATTCGTCAAAGTGACGGTGTTTTACCCTCACTTACAGTTGATGCTGCTGTCACATTGATGGTTGGAAAATAAACTCAATCATTATAAAAAGCTAAGAGTGTGAACTTGCCAGTGACAGGAAGAAGATGAAAAAAAATATATATATACAAACCCACAGTAACTTGCCTAAAAATTGGTGTAATAAAAAAAAAAACCTGTTCCCTACAAAGATATTTTTGAGCTTTGTTCATGAGATACCAAACCATTTTAGCCATGTGTTTTATACTTATTCCTTTGAAGGAAGATCTATACCTCATACTCCTTTATGTTTGCAAACATACATGTAATTTTTAGCACTAAATACACTTTTTATCATTTCACCTCATGCTACTAGGTTGGCAATTTGTTGATTTTTTCCCCCTCTCTTTTAAGAGATTTTGCTTTGTTTTTGTTTTTTTTTCTCCCCTGGATTATATGTTTAAGAGATTTTGCTTTGTTTTTGTTTTTTTTTTTTTTTCTCCCCTGGATTATATTGAACACATATTTCTGTTTGTGCATTACAGTATTTTGAGTGCTTTAATGAGGAAAAGCTCAGTATAGTTCCATCCTGTAAGTCCTTTGACATGCAAACATAAGCAAGGCTCTTGTGAATCACTTTCTGAGGCTGCCATTTGTGTAACTGCACTGCACTGTGCAGCCTTTTAAACTCCAAAACCATGTATCTTACCACATTTCACCTTTGGGAGGCATTGTATATACAGCTAAAAGTAAAGAGCAGTGAGCCAAGAGGGACAAGATAGCATAATGAGGATGTCAATTTGTGGTCAGAGGAAATATTTATCTTACTTGTACTATACTTGGCAACTGATAGAGAAATATATATGTAATGAATTTCCTCAGACTTTATCTGGCAGACTGTGTACCTTGTGTTAAATGGATTTAAAAATAACATTGCTTGTCTCAAACTTTTAAAGTTTGAGGTGATTCTGCTTTGGATTGTTCCTTGAAAATAGACTGTATCTATTTAAAAAATCGTAATCACGTTTGCTAACATATTGGTGATTTTTTAATGATCCATTTCTGAAGGCTCCTTGAATAATGACATTTAGGATCCCACTCGCTCACCAGAACAAAAGCAAGGCACTTTTTTTGTTGTTTAGCGGGGGAAAAGCCATGTTTTTGTAGTTTTACTGTTTTGGTTTGTATCTCTGGTAAGCCTGCTAAGTACCCTAAATGAATGTGCACAGAAATGCTGGTTGTCTCACACGTGCTGTGTGTCCTGAGGCAAAGCTACAGCTGCTTCAGCTCCTTCTGCCTGCTTCCCCATCTGTAAAATGGGAATGATTTAACTTATTTTTCTCCTTCAGGGAAATACAGGAAGGGTTTCTTAATATTTCTATAGAGCTTTGAAGATTAAAATCTCTTCTCTATACTTGCTGCTAATATTTCAGTGTTAGAGAAGCATTTGATTGAAGCTGTTTGAAGAGTAAAGTTTTGGCATCTTCCGTTGTCTTTGTACCATATCTTGAGGCCTCTCCACTATAATTTTGCAACCTTTGGTTCAGCGTGAGCTGCGGAAACAAGCAAGCCCTGTGTAAACAAACGGTGAGGACTATAAATTAATGTCTCTGTCTGCTGTTGAAAACATCAGGAGATTACAGCCTATCTCTAAGCCAGCCAGGAACAGTCCATGGTGGAGCAAAGCAGGCACCAGTAACTGGGCTGAGCCTGAAAAAGCTTTCATTTAAGCATCAATGGTAAATGCTGAGAGACACTGAGAGAGGTTTTCTTCTAATATGAGTTCTGTGTCTTTAGATGTACAAGGATGGCTGGTGTTTTAGCAAAGCCTTACTGACTTCCTTGGGCTTAAGGAACAGATAGGAAGTATGAGCACCCAGCATCTACAGCAAGTCTGAAAGTCTTCTTGCCTTTGTTTCACAGATCAGAGGTCAGCATCAATTCCCTGGGTGTAGACAATCTCAAGAGGCTGCAGAGGGGCAGTTTCTGGTTTGGTTTGCTTCTTCAGTTTTATGTTGTTTGAAAAACTTAAAATTGAATACAATGATGTATTCCTCTTTGCAGTTAGGAGGAGTGATTAGGCTACCACATGTGTTAAGTGCTCTTGTTAGAATCTAACTTGGCATTTTAAGGCCTTGCAGTCACAAGCTGTATTTTTCATGATTTACATTTTCATTTTTTAATGCAGAGCAGATTGGACAGGAGATGCTTGAAAACCTCAGCCATGACAGAGAGAAGATCCAGCGTGCTCGGGAAAGGGTAAGTTTGATAATAAGTAATTGCTGATTCTGCATTTTATTTGCATTGGGCAAGTTCTTTGTGCATGCAAAAACAATCCAGATGAGATATAATCACCATCTGCAGTGGAGAACTTACAAAGTGTCTTACATAGGCCACATCCTGCCAAGTCTCTCTGATGGGGAGTCACACTGTAGTCACCAAATCTGCTGCTGGGAGCAAATTTTCTGTCACTATCACAGTTAGGTCAGTGTTCTGTCCTTTGAAGGGTTTGTTATACTGTCCATTCCAATGACTACGTGAGCTTCCTATGAAACAGTTCAGTATCATAAGTGAGCTTCTAATAGTTGAGCAACCTTACTCTGTGTAGCTGCAGGTGCAAACAACAGCCCCTCGGGCAGGTCTGTGTGAGGAGCAGGTACTGCTGCTCTGTCTCTGCAGCCAAGGCAACATATCTGTGATCTGTGTCACTTCTGGCTCCCGTGGCTTCCATGGGGATCAGCTCCACGTGCAGACTTAATGGAGATGCTCAGAAGCCCATCCCATCCGGTGTGTACAAGTGCTCTGACCTTCCATGTGGGAACCCAGCCTCTCTGTCTCTGGTTTCTGCTCACAGAACCAGGACTTTCTGTCCATCACCTGTTGTTCAGATACTTTCCCAAGTGTCCAATTTTAACAAAGCCAGGCTCTCCCACACATCTCTTAACTGACCAGTGGCATTTCAGAGAAACTCCTTTACCTGTCACGGGGAGTTTCTTCACTTGGATAGCTTTAATTAGTAAAGCTTCCTATAACAGTATTAATGTGGCATTTTCTGCCAGCTGTACCAGTTGCTTTCTGAAGTGCTGGGCATTAGCTACTTTAAAACACTAAATATAGCTAGATCACTAAATGTAGCTAAGAATTGTGAGGATTGACCAAGTTTTGTTCTGGCAATTTGGAGTCATATTTCACTTCCACTTCTTATATCCCCAGTGACTGCTGAGTCTGAAATGCTTTTCTGTTTATAGCTGGACAAATAAAATGTAGGCAATAGAGATAAATGCCATGTATTCCTTTCTGCTCATCCTGTATATCCCAGGGATGTAGTTCTGATCACTCAGTGTGCTCATGGTTCCTAGCATAACTTTTTCTTTTCATTTCTTTCCACCTGAGGAGCAAATTTCTTTGAAGGCAACACCTGTAAGATGCAAAGAGCAAGATTAAAAATAAGAAGGATATTCTAGGAAAGTGTAGTACATGCATACTCCACCAAAATGCAGCAAAAAAACCTCTTGTCATAATGGAAGATCTCAAACTCCAAGTTTTTTATCAGGGGCCACTTAAATATTTAAAAATACTTAAAATATTTTCTTCAGGGAATTCAGAAAAGTTCTTCAGTGGAGCCACATGGCTCTACCTGTTCCAGCTGTCTGTGTACGCTCAGATGAACATTCAGGGGAGATCTTAGATAATTTAGCTAGTTTTTCATTTTCTAGAGATTTTGAAAGACCAGAACAGAGGGTGCTTTATAAATGCATGATAGCTGTACATTAAATATGTGGAGTTATTATCTTATCAACCAGGGAATAAACTTGTTTTCTGGAATGAAATAGTTACCATGAGTATAATGGTCAGCTTTAACAGTTCAATGTTGAGAAAACGAGGAAAATTATTTTTTATAAGCAAAATATAAATAAGTTAATATCTCAATGGTCTGGTTAAATTTACATATATGAATTTTCCTGTCTGTAGAGTAAAACTCGTATTTTCTTCTGAAGGCAAAGAGAAGGGACAAAAGCTCTGCTACGAGTCAAATAGGTTAACTGGATTATACAGGACATTAAAAGATGCAATGTCTTTTAGGAAAACCTCCAAATTTGTCTAAGGCAGACAAGATATCAATGCCAGCATCTTGTTCATCTTCCTGTTTTCTCATTATTATTCTTAATATTATCTTTAAAAACCATGTAGAGCCACCATTGCTAATATCAAAGCCTGTTTCAAAATGTTTTCACTACAACAGTGCTGTGAAACACATGCTGGTTAAGAGGTTCACATTCCACCAGTTCCATTCCACAATTCTGTGGTGTGCTGGTATTGGTAAAGAAATGGTGGAAGAACTGCAATCAGATAATTCAGTTTTAAATGAAAACAAACTTACAGTTTGAAACTCTTCCTGTGGGGTTTTTTTTTTTTCCTTCTGCCAGAGGAGGAAGAAAAGGTGTTTTCTTAGCATTCTCTTGGGAGGTAGCTAGAGATCTTCCAACTATGTGTGTACGTGTTTGTTTCTTTTTTAATGTTTCTTTTGCTTATTTTGTGGGTTTTTTATTATCGTAAAAACATGAGGTCGTCTTGCTTAGAGGAGTTTGTCAAACCCCTAAGATTCAGCTTCCCCTTCCTAACTATCAGCACTGATTCTAGCTGTCAGGTAGAATCCTGCAGCAAGAGAGGAAAGTTAGGATCAAACATTTAATGGTAAAAAGGAGAGCGCTGCTTTTCTGTGAAAAGGGAGGAGAAGCCCCAAGTGTTAAATGCATCTTTATGAATAATAAAAGACCAATGTAAAGCATACATTTGTACTTCAGATTCCCTTCTAGCATAGATAAGAACTTGGCTTTTTAATGAGCCTTTTAAAAATTATTGTGACGTTTTTTCTGCTGTTACTTGTGTCAAACCGGGCTAAACTGCTTTTCTGGAGCTTGAATTGTCTAGATGAATCAGGAAAATATGAGGGAATGGCCTCCCTGGAATATAATACTCATCTTTGTTCCATCATAGCACATAATTACAGAGATCTGAGAGTTAGTGCAAGCCTTCCCACTGAATATGATATTGCTAAGAGCAAGACTTGATTGGTGTTATCCAGTCCCAGCTTCTACTTGGTATTTTCATAATAGCTTTTAGAAGAATAAGGAGGAAATTTATGCAAAAAGGTTATGTGACACTGATTGTCACATCACCTACTGATTTCAGTAATAAACGTTAAATCTGGCAGTAAATATTTACAGTATTGTGCTCCAGAATAGAGACTGGGTTTAATATTGCTGCTGTTCAAATATTCAAGATATAATAGTGGTTTGTTATGGTGAAGGTGATTTGTTATTGGAAGACTGCCACTCTCCTTGGCAGTGTTACTGTTTTGATGGATTTGTAACACAGGATGTATTTTGTCTACTACAACAAAGTTTTTTTTCAGTAAGAAGTCAATGAAGAAGGTAATCCTTTCAATCTGATTTGATAATGAAGAGGTAAATATTCAGCTTTCACAAGGAGAAGAATGTTTTTATGTATACACACAGCTGTGTTTTGGGACGTGTTAGAAACAGTGGGGTAAATATTCAGCTTTCACAAGGAGAAGAATGTTTTTATGTATGTACACACAGCTGTGTTTTGGGGCGTGTTAGAAACAGTGTTCCCTGCTATTTCATAGCTGAAATAGTCATAATCATTACATTATCTTTTTACAGTAGATTTTGATGTTCTGCTGGTTCCAAGATGTCTAAAATGTTAAAAGATGTCTCTCTTCTAGCTGCCAGTGGCAAAAGAGGTGATAGGAAAGTAACTCCATACTTCCCATTATCTTCTAATTTCTAGATTTCCTTTTTTGGGACACTAATAAACACAAAAAGAGAGGGGACATTTTAATCCCTTTTAAAAAGCAATAGAAATAAACATGAAGTTCATTTGCTTCATAACCTTTCATCTACTCTATTCATTTTTTACCTATTTTACAATATTTTGAGAGCTGTAGGACAAGACAGCTGATTAGGTGTAGCTGTAGGTTTCCTTTGTCCTAATAAACTACAAAAATGGTCGTTTCAGTGAGTGAGAGTTCCTTACATTAAAAAACCCACCATATCTACTGTACAGCTATTCCTTCTGTACATGTATATATAATATTCACAAAGCATTTGAGCACCCAGGCCAGAGGTGGCTGCTGTAAGGTCAGTACAAGTTTTATATTTAAGGGGCAGTATAGACATATTTATTTTATACAGAATTGCTAAAGTGATATATTTTGTATTTCTGTTTCTTTCTTTAAACTACAATCTTTGAAAAACAGTGAAAGAAAAATATGTCTTTCTTTTCATAAAGCATCAGGAACATGGTTGTCCCTTCATCCCTTGATCCTTTCACTAGTGTGCACAAACAATACACATGCATGTGGGACTTATGGATTCCAATGTATAGAGCTTCTACCTGCAACCCTTTATTTGTAAAGCTTTTGCTCTTTATCCTGACTCACCTTTGTTGCCTCAATGACTTCCCTTGCCTGGGTTTCATATGTATGTAAGTGAAAACAAGACAAGGTATTTTTAAATTTCAGAGCTTTGGTGTCTTTATGAGCCTGTTGTGTGCTAACCCTGAAGCTAACTGACTCAGATGACTGTGAAACCCCTGTCCTTTGTACAGGCTGGGCTACAGCTGCCTTTTACCTTTAATGGGACTCTTTTCTCCCCAGCTTAGAGAAACAGATGCAAACCTGGGGAAGAGTTCCAGGATTTTGACGGGAATGTTGCGAAGGTAAGGCCAAGGTAGGGATATTTCTGCTCTTTCTTTTTTTCTTCTCTCCCCCCGTGCCTTTATTTTCAATTTTACTTCAATCTCAACATGTTGCTGTTGTCCCTGACTTTTTTTTTTACCCAGGCTGCTATGTACAATGTCTTTAGATGATAGAAGGCTTTGTCATGCCTATGGAAAGAGTTTTCTGAACCTGAAGGACAGCCCTTGTGTAATGATTTCTCATCTTTGTTTGGGGGGGTTTGGATGAAATGTTCTAAAATTAAGGTTTTTTGATGATGATTTTCTATGCTTCCTATTCTTCAGTGATTTCTGTGTTTTGAGGGGGTTTTTTGCCTGTTAAAATGAGAAAGTTGGCAAATGTTTTGGGGCAGCATAAATTCATGTGCAGAGAAAAGGTTAAAATTATCAATTCTGCCTAAATAGATGGGGCAGATACACTGTCAGCCCTTGTGGTTTTAGCATGTTTTTTCCACGCTTTCAATGTTATGAAAATTGTCCCTGGGATCAAAATGAGGTGATATGAAAAGGAAAATTGTGGAATGTCCTAAAACTCTGTGTGGGACTGAAGGGAGGGAGTTATCCATTGATTATTTCTCCCCTTAAATTTGCATCAGTGCATTCTCAGACAGATTTTTTTCAATTAGTGGCACCTCTGGTTATGTGTTCTTTACCCAGTGAAACAGCACCTGAGCTTCTCTGTGATGTCTGTATTTCTGTACATATTCAGTTTCCTAAAGAAGAAAAGCATCCCTCTAATAAGCAGTGCTGGGTGCTAAGAAAGCACAGTTTTAAAGGAGTTTAGTGCATCCTCTGAAGAGTTCAGTCTGAAATTACCCTTGCCTCAGGCTTTTATGTTGTGTGTTTGCCTAATGCACTTTGCTTATTTAAAAAAGGAAAGAAAGAGAAGAAAATTTTAGCAGAGTTGCTGGTTTGTCACTTGGCTTAGGATACGTGGAAACTGGAATTTTTATAAGTTGTTCTTTAGCACAAGCTTTATTTCTCCATACGTCTCCTCAGAAAAATACCTTTGTTAGTTCCTTGTACACCAAATTGGCAAAGGTTAAAGTGACTGAACCTGATGCCTTCATTCCACAGATCTTTTACAATTCCAACTCCAAAATATAACATATAAAATTCTCTGATTAAGAATAATATGTAAATGACACAAGCTAAATTCAAAATCCATGGAGGAAGGAAGTGGCAATTGAAAGGGATGGTTCAGTGGCTGTAGACAATCAAAATAAACTATAAAAAAAATGAAGGCAAAGAAAAGACACCAACCAAACCCAGGTCTCCCCCGGAAGGGCTCTGCGACATGAGCTGTAACGAATATTCTGCATATGTCTCCATTTTGTCAAATCTCATTAAAGAGGTTTCTTGCTTTATGTCAATTGAGCTGTCCGAAAATCATTCATCATTTTAGTGTAAAAAAAATCATGCAGTTATTTAAATAATATCATATTAATGTTAAAGTTCAGCTGTCATTTAATAGTATGGCTTAATCAGACATAGCATTTAGGAAAAATAGTTTTTTCGGGCTTTACTTGGCTTTCAGGTTGGCAGATTCAAATAAGGATTTATGGGTTTCTAAACCAACGTATTCTTTCCATGTTTATGCTTGAGGTACCCCAGCCTTTTTTGCAGCACCCTGTAGTCTGTTATTTTCAATAAAATAAAGTATCTTCTCATATTGTGTTTGAATACATTTGCAAGTAATTTGGAGAAGCTGAAACAAAAACATATGCTGTAACCTTTGACTTTGTTTTGTATTTGGGAATCACAGTTAGGAGTCCTAGTTTATAAGTGTTCCATAAGCCAAATGAAAAATATGATCTTTCTGAGATATACTTGGGCTCTTGTTTTCAGACAAAAGGATTATGTAGTTGAACACCATGATAGCATGTTTCTGTGTGTCAGAACGGCACTGGATTTCCTTTTTCTTCCACAAAAATGCTGAGCTGAGTCACCCATCTAGAAGAAAGTCAGGTTAGGATTTAAGCTCAGGTCAGGTAAATGTGCCAAAAGCAATGCCAGCATAGAAGCAGCTTTCAGTAGACAATTCTCAGGATGTTGTTTAAAACCACGTAATTGATAGACCTACAGTGAATTTAATTTGTTTGTGACTGTTGGGTAGAAGGGTCTAGCATTATCCCAGCCTCAGCATCATCCCAATTTGTTTAGTTACAAGAATAATCATGAAGTACAGACCCCAAGAAATCAGCATGTATTAGATAAATACAACTGCAAGAAATATAATTAGCACAGACTGGCAGTTGTTTCCTAATTTCTGCATACTTCAATACACACCACACAATGTTTTACATAATTACTGGAACCAAGAAAATAAAACACTGGAGGACCATCTCCACATCAATATTATACAGAAAAGGTAATGATAAATTGAACATTGCTCAATGTAGTGGCTGTTCCCACAATATATATTTGCTGATATGCTTGAAGTCATATGCCATGCTAACAACTCTGTGCTTCAAATTAATGCCTAACTCTTTCTAATTTTACTGTCTGGGAAAGGTAAAGCAGCATCTCTTTTGAATCTGGCTGAATATATTAAGAGATCATATATTTAGATAGCTAGAGGGCTAAATTACTGCCTTTGTATGACCTAAATTCCCTGGCCATGTGTTTGTGAATAAAATGTTCTGGAGATGGGGAATAAAAGGAGAAACAGGTTTTGTAGGTGGCCATGGCTCACTAAGGAAATCAGTGGCATAATAGGGACAGGTCTTCCTATCCCAGTTTGCTGCTTCAGCAATAAGGTACCCAGCCTTATATATTGTAATTTGTTGTCACACAAGATTTTGGGGGTGTGGGTAAGAGTATTTTCGTAATAAGTGTTTTTAAGTATTCTCACATACAAATGACCTACCTATACTTCATGACTTTTTTTTTTTTTTTCTGTAGCAAATACTCAGGTTCTGTTAAGCTAATACATTCCTCTTATGGCATGGCATTACTAGAATCAGGGGGAATGGCTTCAAACTGAAAGAGAGCATGTTTAAATTAGATATTAGGAAGAAATTCTTTGTTGTGAGTGCAGTGATGGGACATGGGCATTCAGAAAATTAACTTAGAGTATTAATTAATTTTTGGGTTTAGATGAAGCGTGCAGTTTTTGTCCATGAGCCACTGGAATGGGTTGCCTCAGGTCTCTGTCCCTTAGTCTGTACCCCAGTGTGAATTGGGGGGTGCACAGTGTGCTAGAAAGAAGTAGAAAAGAATGTGTTCTGGAATATCTTCAGGGTTTTGCCCATATCCTAAGCCAATAGCCTAGAAAAGCTTATAAGAAAAGAATTTGGAAAGTCTCCAAGCCACACACAGCCCAGTGGGAAACAAACAAACCTAAAAGTAACCAGATAAAAATTTCAGTGGATTTGAATCTTTTTTCAATTAGCAGATAAGTTCTGTCTACCCCCTTCGAATTGCGGGAAAATAATTTAGAAGAATGGCTGCTACACTCCAGAACAACTTTCTATCCTGTCTGGTCCACCAGGAAATTTTTGTGTTAAAAATAATGTTTTAATCTTCATATTTCAGTGTTTTGGATTGTTATCAATGATGTTTTGAGAAGCTTATGAACACATCTGCATTTATAAAAGAGACTTTTAAAATTTGATTCCCAGCAGGACAGAGACACTACCTCTGTCTGATAGAAATGAGGCAGTAAGCGTTCAGTTCAGCTCTCAGGTAATAAGTTATGTGACTTTCCAACAGCTGCATGATCAATATGACTGCAGTCAGAAATGGAATGTGAGTTCTGATGAACTCTTTCCAGGAAAATTCTGGGAGTCCTGCTTCTTGCATCATTGCTAGTCAAAATTTGTTCTACTTTTTTAGACCTTGCAGTTTATTTTTCAACATTTCACAGAATTGTAGGACACCTTAGGTTGGAAGGGACCCTTTAGAGGTCATCTGGTCCAACCTCCTGTTCAAAGCAAGTCTCATTAGAGTAGGTTGCTCAGACTCTACTCCAGTCACATTTCAAACACATACAAGGCTGGAGATACCAATGTCTGTCTGAGCAATCTGTTCCAGTAGTAGCTGACATAAACAAATCCTTCAGGTATCTCACTGAAATTTCCCAGCATCCAACTTGTGTCCATTGGCTCTGGTCCTAAGCAGAAGTGATTTTCAGAATTGGCCTTCAGAGTTTGGGCCTGGATTGCAGTTTTTTTTCTAGCAGTTCTCATACAGCTTCAGCAGTGATGATGTTGTGGTCATTGGGCTGAGGGACACTCTGTGCAGGCAGTTCTTGAAGCAGGGCATGGGGTGCTCTGCCTCACCCACTGACCTGGCCCTGGCCACTCAGCAGTGTATGCACAGGACTTCTTTATTGCTTTCTCTGGCTGGTAGAGATGTGCAAAGTTAAGAATGTCTGTTCTGCCTCCTTGGCTACAAAGCCCACATTTCCATATGTTTAGAACAACAGCAGGGACAGTCATGTCCCTGTGGGGACACAAACCCAAACAAAGCGTGTTACCACTGCCTTTTTCCCTATTTCCCTACCAATCTCTGTTTCCATCCCCAAAAGTCCATGACAAAAAACCTGATTTTCTTCTGAGCTAAAGCCTGTTTCAGTCATACTTGGCCATGGCTGTTGAGTCTCTGCAGTTTTCTGAAGGCAGGTCTTTGTATCATGGATCCAGAGTGAGGTTTAACATGCAGCTACGTTTGCTTTGTTTTCATGCTAATAGAGGAGTTCCTCTTTCCAGGATATTTGGTCTCAAGCCAAAAGGAGTTTGAGTATGAATTGTTTCAGCAACTTTTTTGTACATATATTTCTATTTTTACTTCAAGATGTATTTCTACACTGAAAAATGATTGAAATGGTAAATCCTCAAGCAAAATGTCTGCTCCGTGTTGAATATTTACAGCTGCAGCTGTTTACTTCAGTAATTTAGACCTTGATTCGGGAGCACCTTTAAGCATCTAGTTAACTTAAACCAGAGGAGCAATTCCCTTAACTTGAGGGAAACTGAATA